GGCCGGGCCGCCCCCGGGGGGCGGCGGGCAGGGGGTGGCCGGCGGTGGCGGGGATGGCAGCCCCCGTCCCGCTGCCGCGCCCAGCAGGAGCGGGGCCTTGTCAGCCGCAGGGAGCCAGCGGGGCTTTGGCCAGGCGCCCGAGATCTTCCCACCGCCGGGGCTGTGAGACTTGGAGGGGGATTTCGTCAGCGGCCCAGGCAGCCGCCGAGGGGCCACCGCGGCCCGGCGCTCTCCACGGCCAGCCTTAGACCTCGTCCGGCTCTTTCGGGGAAGGTGGTGCCCAGGACCGAGCCTGCCGCAGGCTGAAGGAGGCGGCGGGCCCGGGAGGGGCGGGGGGGGCAGCTCCGCGCTGTCCTTGGGGACGAGTGGGGCAGGCCTGACGCTGACAGGCGCTCAGGGTGCCTCTCGCAGCGGGTCAGACGTGGTTCCTCATGCAGAAGAGAGGCAGCTGAGGGCTCCTGTCCACTTTCCTCCTCATCCTCCGTTTGCCACGTCCCATCACAGTCTCTGTCCTGTCTTTGAAGAGGAGGATGGAGACCGCTTGCACCGGGTGGTGACAGCACGCCTCTCCCTCTGGAGGGGACACGCTCTCCTTGGGGCTCCATCAGGTTCTCCCTGATGGTCGAGGGAATATGGTAGGGTTTTGACAGGCTCAGGCTGGCTCCTGGCTCTTTGCTTGTCCCTGCAGCCCGGGAGCGTGTGAGGAACAGTGGAGCAAAATGCATCCTGGCGCTTCCCAGAGTACCAGCTTGCCTGCAAGGGGGCACAAGGGAAAGGGACACGTAGCTCCTGAGGCAATGCAGGGTAGCCGTGGACATACCACATCGTCCAGGAGGGGCAGGAGCAGCTGTCAGCTGCCCTGGAGGTGATGCTGACAGCCTGCCCCCCCAGCCAGGGAACTAGGTATCTTGCCGTGCCACCCAAGGGGACCCAGGTGTCCTGCCCGCCGTGGGACGCGTGGATGAGGCCAGAATGCATGGTCCAAGGCAACATGGGCATGGGGCACCTGAGGGGACGTGCGCAGCCAGTCATGTTAATGACTACCTAATGACCTTGGGGAGGCTGCGAGGGGGAGTGGGGCCTCCTGGACGCCTGGCTCCCCCCACACATCTGCTGGACCTTGCTCTTTGCCCTGCCCCTCCTCCTGGATCCTTGCCCATTGGGCCCAGCTGGGGTCAGTATAAAAAAGGCACGGAGGAGTGGGAGGGATCCCAGAGACCCCGAGGCCATAAGGGAAACTGAGGCACACACACACAGGTGCGGGTGAGGGATGCGTAGGGGACCAGAGGGTCTGTGGGACGGGACTGTGAGGGACCCAGCATCCAGTGGGGAAGGGAGGATACGTAGGGGATCCGGGTGTCGGGGCAGGGGTGGGTCTATAGGGGACCCAGGGGTCCGGGGGAGGGGGTGTTCCATAGGAGACCCGGGCTTTTCCATAGGAGACCCGGGCTTCTGGGGAGTGCAGAACTGTAGGGGACCCCGGTATTCATGGGGTGTTCTGTTGGGAACCCAGGCATCCAGGCAGGATCCACAGATGGCTCGGGTGTCCAGGGAGGGGGTCCCCATGCATTTAGAGGGGATTTGTAAGGGACCCATGTGTCTGGGAGGGGGAATTTGTAGAGAAATCGAGGGACCAGGGTGGGTTTTTTCAGTCGGGGGCCCGGAAGTCCAGATGGCCCTGACCCCACTTTCTGCAGGTGCCCATGGCAGGCTGGGTCCTGTGCATGGCCCTGGTGCTGGCAGCACTGTCGGAGGCAGTGGGCGAGAGCCGCTATGAGAAGTTCCTGCGGCAGCATGTGGACCACCCCCGGACGTCCGCACTCGCCGCGCACCGCTACTGCGAGACCATGCTGGCGCGCCGGCGGGTGACGGCCCCAGGGCGGCCCTGCAAGCCCTCCAACACCTTTGTGCACGCACCGGCCGAGGAGCTGGTGGCTGCCTGCACCCAGACGCCCGATGCAGCGGGGTTCCACAGCACCCCGACCTCCATGAGCCTCACAGCCTGCCGCCTGCGGGGGGGGGACACCCGGCCCCCTTGTGCCTACCGGGCCCGGCAGCTCCAGCACCATGTGCGTGTCTCCTGCCTTGGCGGGCTGCCCGTGCACCTCGCTGGCACCCACGCCCCCCCCCAGTGAGGCTTGATTTTGGGGGGGCTGTAGGTGGGGAGGTGGATTCTTCCTCCCACGGGGCGCTCCGTTAGGGCCTGCAATAAAGGAGGTGCCACAGGTCTGGGCTCCAGCATCAGCTTCTGGGGGACCCTGCGATCCTACCCTTCTCTGGGTGCCCCTGAGCCCCCTTGGGTGCCTCCAACCCTGTCCAAGGTGGACCTGGCCCCCCACATGCCCCATAAACCCCTGGGTTTCCCCAACCTCCTGGGTGTCCCTAGGGTCCCTCTGACCTCCCCTGTGCCCCATAGAGTCCCCTTTCCTGGGTGCTCCACAACTCCCCTGCGTGCCCCATAGCCCCCCCAGGGCCCCCCTCATCCCCTGGATGTACACCCAACTCTCTTCCCCAGTATCCTGACCCTTTGGGTATCACATTGCTTTCCTGGATGCCCCATAGCTCCCACAGGGTCTCCCAGCCTCCCATGTGCCTCCTAACCCCCTGGGTACCCCCGACTTCCCCCATGCCTGCCCTATAAACCCTCATGTGCCCCGCAGTCCCTTCTCCCACATGCCTCTGACCCCATCTGGGGCCTCTCTAGGGCTGAGGCTGCTCTCGGGCCCCCACGGCACCCCGCTGGAGCCGAGCACCGGCTGGGGCCACACGCGGCCCTGAACCACCTCCCCATGCACACTGAACACACGCAAAAACACAAGACACAACGCACACAAAACATGCACTGGGCACACAACACACAACCACACACCACAGTCACGACACAAAACATACACACACGTGCTCCTACACACAACACTCATACGCAGCACAAACACACCCACCCCACAGACACAATACACAAGCACATACGCACAACACACTACGTGCACGTGCATACACAAACGAGTGTTTTCTTGGGTTTGGATGCGATTTCATCACCTCTTGTCCTGCCACTGGGCACCAGTAAGAAGAGTGTGGCTCCCTCATCTTCATTCCTCCCCATCAGTACTCAGCAGTACACTGATAAGCTCCCCCTGCCTGAGCCTTCTCTTCTCCAGGATGCGCAGTCCCAGCTCCCTCAGCCTTTCTGCTTATCAGAGATGCTCCGGTCCCTTCATCATCATCATCCCTTTGCTGGACTCCCTCCAGTATTTTCATGTCTCTCCTGTACTGGGGAGTCCAGCGCTGGATCCAGCATTCCAGGTGTGTCTCAGCAGTGCCGAGGAGAGGAGCAGGATCACCTCCCTCCACCTGCTGGCAGTGCTCTGCCTGATGCAGCCCGGCAGGCTGGGGGTCCTCTTTGCTCTGGTCCTGTTGCCGAGGGAGCCCTGAGGACTCGGATGGAAGTGTTGACATCCAGGTGCTGTGCTGCTGCAAAAAGGCAGCCCAAATGCACTCAGAAATTGTGGCTGAGGAGGAAAAGAAGTGCAGTAAATGGTCTTCCTAATCCTTTTCAATTGCTCCCTGTCCAAGATGTCTCTTCCTCATGTGCCTTGAGTAACTCAGGTGCTCCTTTTCTGGAATTCAGCAGAAAGGCACTTGGAGGGTCCTCCATGCACTGGCGAACTCCGACTCTCAGCCCTACCCCAGTGAGGAGAGCTCTGCTCCCTGTACGCTGGAGAGGAACTGGGGTATTTCAAGGGCATTTGGGGCATTCCTGGCCGTTCCAGGCATTCCCTGCTCCCTCCTGGCGGTGGGAGGAGCCGGGTGGGCTGACCCTCTCAAGAGGGAATGCCTGGGGTCTCTGCAAGTACAGGGATTTGATCTCTGCTCTGTTTCTTTCTACCTTGGTTCTTCAAGGCTTGGAGGAGGACACCAGCCTCTCCATCTGTTCTCTGGCAGCTCAGGTCATCCTGACATTGAGAGAGAAAAATACCACCACTGTGATTTACCCTAGGAGCCTTGCACTGCAGGCTCTGAAGAGCATGGGAGAGGTGGCACCTGTCTCGGGGAGACAGCTCTGAGCAGCAGTCCCAGAGCAGCAATGCCAGTTCTGGGATGCCCTGCATGCTGGGGCTACCTGAGCGTGCTGGAAAGTCTGGGTTGTTCCTGGCATCTCGCCTTTGCCTGCACCCCTCCGGCACATCCCATCCCATTATTGAGCTCTTGGTTCACCCCTCTGCTGTGTTTTCCCCCAAGAAGCACCTCTGCTTCTTCAGCATATGCTAGTGTCTGCTCTTCGTGAAGGCTAAAGGGAACAAAACTCATGGGTGGGATCGCGGCTGCGATAAGAGACTTCCGTGCTATCCTTGAACTACTGGGATGTGGCCCTTTATCCAGGGAGACAGAAAGGCCTTTGCCACCAGCAGCAGTGGGCCATTTACAGGCAGCGGTCAGCAAATCTGTAATGGCAACGCGTAGAAAAAAGCCAGCGTGGGACTGGTGCCTGAAAATAAAGGAAGGATTTTTTGCATTTTTGTGTTTTAGCAAATCATTGCATTTATTTCTTAATTCCTTTCTCATTTAGGTACGTTTATGTCCTGCCTATCACAGCCAAATGTAAAGTCCCAATGTTTTTGGTTGATTCTGCCTTATAACACCACGGGGAGACGGAAACTATCATCATCTCTGGCTTGTGGATGGGAGTTAAGCGGCTTTCCTAAGGTCACAGAAAAAGTCTGAGACAGGAGCTCAGTTCAGGCCTCCTGAACCCTATTTAATGGCTTCCCTTCCCATTGACGTGCTCTTCTCTGGAGAAAAGACAAACTGCGTCCATCTGACTTTTTCTTTCAGATAACTTTTTTTGCTTTCAATGTACGTCTTTCACTTTGCAGTGTGTCCTGCAGCAGATCGGTATAGGCTGCATTACAACAAGCAACCACAACTGTTCCCAAAACAGCACTATATTCCACCAAGAAAGCAACTGTAGACTTTCTAGATACTAGCTCAAAGCTAGTATCTGAGTTATATCTGCCCAGATTTCATGCCCAGAGTTTGCTCTGACAATGGTCAGCCTACTCTTCTCACCTGCTATATTACCAAACAATTAATTCCTTAGCCAGGAAGCAGGCAGTTGCTTGTTTAGTACATGCAAACGAAGCAAATAATGCTCTCTCACATGTTTCACTATGGCTCACACGCTTGCTCTAAGATCACACTTCCACCGCCCGGCATCTGATAGCGTAAAATGAGAGGCATGAGCAGGGTGTTACCATTTCCAATGCTACTGTGGAAATTCAGTTTTGCTTCTTGAAAAGCAATGGCATTTTTGCAGAACCATAGCAGGAAATTGCTTAAGCAGGCACGGCAAAGGCCTTCAAAAATATTTACTCAGCAAAGTCAATCTGGGCTCCATGGATTTGGCAGAATGAGTCCTGTGAAACCAGGCTGTTGCTGCATGCCATGCATGCCAAAATTGACATGGAAAAAGCTTCTCTCCAGTGCTATCGCTTGCTCTTAAAATATACCCTGCACAAATACAGCAAAATACAGCCAGTTTCTCTGAAGCATTTGCTCTAATAACTTTTTCCGTGGGGTTTTGGTTCCCCCACCTTCTGATAACCAAATAACTCATCCAAACAATGTGGTAAGCTTTCCAACGTCACGACAGCTTGAAAAGCTCACTGAAGAGTAGAAGCATTCATAAAAGTCAGATGATATATTTCTTAAATCAAAATGTCTTTTTTTTTAATGAGCACAGATCTTTCTGCAACTTTAAGCACCAATTTTGCTCTTTTTATTGAAAAATGGACTAATCTAAATATTTTGAAGCATTCATCAAAGGAAGGGGAATACCTTACTTCTTCTACCCCTCCAATATGTCATTTTTTTTCTTCCAGAAGGAAATTCCAGGGTATTCCTCTTTGTATTCACACTGTTCATATGCCTAAAATAATGCAGGTATCAACTGAGTTTAAAAAAAAAAAAAATCCATGAGCTTTCCATTTGAATTTGTCTGGTTTTTCTTAGCCGTATCTCACAAAGAAGAGTCAAGTCCTGTAGACTGATTTTCTTGGGCTTTTTTTGTCTGTTTAGCATGAAATACTGCTGGTGGCATTGTGAGAACAATAGCAACTGACTTCACATCACCCTAGAGATGACTTCAAATCACCTTTCAAGTCTGGCCCAAAAGAGGACCTTTTGCTTTCTCATATGGCACGTTTTTGAATGAATGCGCAGTTTAAACAGTTAAACTGCAATGACTAGTTTCTACCATCACAAGTATCTCTGTGAGTCCTTTTTTTTTTTCTTTATTGCCTTGAAGAAAAATTGTTTGGAGAGAATAGAGCTATTCCTTTGTCTCTGGTAAATGAAAAGGCCCTGTAGCTTGGGCTGAGTGGTGGGGCTGGGGTGCTCAGCCTCCCTCGTCACTGAGAAGTGGCTCTTCTTTCTGTCACCAGGGGTTTAAATACTGGGATGTCCCCACCGCTACCCCATAACAAGTGAGCCAGGGAGAAGCCACAGCTTTCTGTGAAGGACTGAGCTGAGAGGCAGCAAAGAGAAAGGACCAAGCCTCTGGGAGTACCTGGGGATTTTGCTCTGAGGTGCATCCCAGCACGGCACATGTGGCAGCTCAAAGAGGCTCTTATCTCGGCAGCTTGCTCTCTCTGTCTACAAAGTACGTGGTAATGGCCCAGGCGTCTGGCAGAGCAAATAACCAACCTCAACTTTTTCCACCTACACACAAGGTAGAGGTGCTTGAAGGAGTCAGCACTGACAAATGCAAAAAACCATGCTCCTCTTCCTGCAGATACCTCTGTTTCCTTGGCTCTGCTCTGTTTTTTTGAGTTCCTGCCACATATAAAGAGGAGCCAGAACAGCCCTTAGCTCAGTCCTTTCTCCAGGCGTCAGAGGCAGTTGAAGAAGCAAGGTGCTCAATGCGCTGGGCAGACCTCCTTGTTCTTCTCCCTGCAGCCCCATACCGGCTGGCGGCTTTCCCCTTCGCTGCTCTCTTCCACCACCTCTGTGCTTCGGGGCGCCTCTCTCTGACTGCCCGGTACGTGGTCATCACCCCTGCTGCTGCGCCAAGGGCGAGTCATGCCTGTGGATGCTTTCTGGGGGCTCTCCTGGCTGACTCGGGTAGGGATATTTGTATGGCTTGGATGTGAGCTGTTCCCAGTCCCCTCTCTCTGCAGTGGGGCCAGATCAAGGTTGTTAAGGACAAACCAGCCAGGCTGGACGCTCCGGTCTTGTGAGAGATGGGTTTAGGGGTGTACCAGGACGAGCACATGGGCAAGGGGGAGCAGGGCAGGGAATGGGGATTATCTTTGGTGCAATTAGGATGGGGGCCAGGCATGGCCAGCAATATCTGCCCCAGTCTGCCCCACATTCCTGCTTTTCTTGCAGCCACAATGGCCCTGGTGTTCCCTCAGCCCCACGAGGGGCTAAGAGGCGGACTACAAGGGGACTGTGGAAGCTGCAGGACCCAGACTAAGCTCTGCTGTCAACACTGTGGTGGGAGTTTCAAGCCCCATTTTCCCCAAAAGGCAGCCAAAGGGCATCTGGTCTCTTCTAGGTACTTATTCCTCCTCGCTGGAGGATGTCTCCTTGCTGGCACAGCCATGGGCAGCTACGCCATTTTGCTCTTCATCCCAGCCATTGGCTCCCTGCTCGTCCTCCTCTCCATCAGCCCAGCTCGTGCCCACACCTGGGTCTTCGCCCTCCAGATGTCCTGGCAGACACTCTGCCACCTGGGTCTGAGCAGCCAGGAGCTGGACCCACAGGATGCCAGGTAACGCTCCGGCTCTGCCTCCTTCCTGCTCCTCCCCGCAGTGGGCTGGGGCCCTCTGGGGCATTTTGTGAGGGTGGAAGGCCCCCCGGGCCAAACTGGCTCCCTGTTCCACAGCCGTCGGTCTCCACTCTGGCTCTGGCTGCATCCCCGTGCGTGGGCGATGCTGCGGGCATGGCAGCGCTCTGGGGACGTGGGACAGCACACCCCCGTGTGCGGCCTTGCGCCCGTGCCTCTAACGCTCCCTTCGGGGGACTCTCAGCAGCTCTCAGGTGCCCTCTCCTTCCAGGCCAGCCATCGCCCTCTCTGCCGTCATGCTGCTCACCCAGAAGGCTACGTCTCTGGCCCTGGACATCCACGAAGGGCTCGTGCCGCTCCAGCTGGGCCAGGGGCTTTTGCGGCGCGCGCTGCCCCTCTGCAGCTACCTGCTCTTTTTCCCAGCCCTCCTGGGAGGTCCCCTGTGCTCCTTCAGCAGGTTTCGGGCCCAGGCTGAGTCCTTGGGGGCTCTCCCCTGGCCACTGAGGGCTGCTGGCCAGCGGTGCCTCTGCGCGCTGGTCCTGCAGGGGCTGCGCGCAGGGCTGGCGGGAGGGCTGGCCGGCAGGCAGGGCTGTGCCGGCCTGGGCTGCCTGCCCCACGTCTGGGCACGGGCCCTGCTCCTCAGGCTGGCCTACTATTTGCACTGGGTGCTGGATGAGGCCCTCCTGGAGGTGGCGGGCTTCGGGCCGGAGGCAGGCCAGGGAGACCTTTCCATCCGCGACCTGTGGACGCTGGAGACCACCCACCGCCTGGCCGTCTTCACCCGAACCTGGAACAAGAGCACGTCCCGCTGGTTGAGGAGACTTGTCTTCCAGCGCTGCCCGGCCCAGCCGCTCCTAGCCACCTTTGCCTTCTCCGCCTGGTGGCACGGCCTCCGGCCCGGGCAGGTCTTTGGTTTCCTGTGCTGGGCTGTCATGGTGGAGGCTGACTACCGCATCAATGCCTTCCTCAGTGCCCGGGCCACCTCCCAGGGTATGAAGCTCCTCTACCGTGGCACAACCTGGGTCTTCACGCAGCTCATCGTCGCCTACATCCTGGTGGCTGTGGAGACCGAGAGCTTCTCCACGCTCTGCCTGCTCTGGACTTCATGCAACAGCATCCTTCCCCTCGCCTACGGCTTCGCACTGCTGCTGCTGCTCTTCGCCAAGAAGCCGAAGCAGAACTGAGCCTGTCCTGGGCTAACTTGTGCAGCTGGTGGGGCACGGGCCTGCACACTTGAGTGTGCAGGGTGAGAAGTGCTATTGGCCAAACAATCTCATATAACAGTATCTCTGGGGAATCAGGTTGGCTTTTACTCCTGGGATACCCCCAGCTTTGAGGGATGCCCTGAAGCAGAGGGGCAAGGTCACCAGACTGCTGGGCAAGAAGGCTGCTAGCAGCACTGCTTGCCCAGTGTTTGTCTTGGGGCTTTGGGTCTCAGCCTCATCTCACATAGGAAGCACACAACCTCCCCGCCAAACTCATCTGTGCCACAAATGCACCAGTCGGCAGCTGTGTCCAGCTCCTGGGAATCTGTCCTCCATGGCGATAGCAGGCACTGGCAAAGAGCTGCCTTGCCATCTTTCTTTTGTGCACAGACCACTGGGATCCTGGGCACAGGGAAAGGGGCTGGCAGTCTGTCTGGGAGCAGCACAAGACACAAAACACCCCTCTCCCCACCCAGCAGTACTACCGAGATCCATGGGTCTGTGGTGGTCCTCCAGCAATTGCTCCTCAGCACTATCCCTGTGGCATGTGGACCCCAAACTGTGTTCCCAATTAGACATCTCCTGCAATACCTGCTCCCCCCCCCACCAAGTGGGTGACATGCTTGTCCCCCAGGGCACAGATTCAGCTGTGTCCCCTGCCACATGGGGAAGAGAGATGATCCATTCCCTCTACCATTCTTACTAAGGACCCTGAGCACGGGGGCCAGAATGCCTGCTAGGAAAAGGAGGGCTACTGCCCATGGTGTGCTGAGGCCAGCATGGGCAAGGGGGAATAAGCCAGCAAAGTCCTCGGACTCAGCTGTGGCATTCATCCGAGGCTTAGGTGTCACTTTCTCCGCAAAGATATACAGCAGAAACCCTAATGCACTCCTCCATTTCATGCGTTGGCCTAGCACCCAAACGCCTAGGACTGTTTAGGGTGGAGAAGAAGCATGAGCTGCCACAGAGGAAGGTATCAGGAAAGCATGGAGCCGAGTTTCTGTTTATATGAGAGCAAGAAGCCACCCACCAAATCTCAAAATAATACAGCTGAAAATGCTACAAGACTATTGTTGGCCTCTGGTCTGCTAGGCATGCTGCTGCAGGGTACCAGGACCAACACCAGAACCAGTCTCAAGTGCCCAAACTCAAGGGAAAGCATTTTGATCATCTTAACATCCCATGCCATGCAGGCCCTGTGCCAATACCTGTGTCAGTGTTTGCCACTGAACTGAAACTCAGCATGCAAAATGGGTCCAACCATGTTTTATGTGGGTTGGTTGGATGTTTGGCTACTTCTTGAGTTCCGCTGAGTACCCAGCCCAGGCCTTGCAAGCCACTTGCTCCACATATAACCTCCCGGTTGCCAGCACAGCTTGGATTTGTCATAGCCAGGCCCCGTCTCCTTCAGTGCTGTCCTGCAGAGCTGCCTCCAACTTATATCCTATATCCATGCTTAGAAACTGAGTCATCTCTTCACCTTATCTCTGAACAACATGCTGGGCTCCTTCAGGCAGGTTCCCCAGCTGTTTCATCACTTTGCTGGCCCATGTGAGACCACATGTGGCAAGCCAGGGCCAGACTTCCCAGGGCGATGTGTCCAGAATGGTCCACAGGACAGTGGTTCCCAAGCCAGAAGGCTCCTGCCACCTATGTTGGAGGGAAGTGAACCCAAGAGTCAGGCGCAAGAAAGCCAGTGTATAAAAAAAAAAAGAAACAAAAAAACAAGGGCCGCAGTTGGAGCCATCCCACATTCTTTCAGCAGGCAGGGACGTGCACAGCCTCCTCCCTAAGGGGATCAGGGGAAATTCATTGCAAATGGGTGCCCAGCCAAGGAACCATCCCCTCCCATCAGTAGCAACCATAGCCAAACAGATTAAAAAAAAAAAAAAAATCCAGGTGAGAAGCCTGGAAAAGATTCACAGAAAGTGTATGAAGTGTCAAAAAACCTGGGGAATTAAAATTCCCCCAAGAGAGCAGGCTGGAAAGCACTCATGAATTTCTCATTTTGAGCTGGGAGGGGGGATGGCCCAGCTAGTGGCATCCTGTCTCAGCTACGCTGATGCTGGGCTGTCTCCATGTGTTCCAAACCTACCCGTTCTCCAAGGGCTGCAGAACTGGTGCCAGGAGCAGGGCAGCTCATCTCTGCCTTGTGTTGGGGTGGAAGAGTAAAAGCAGCCCACAACCTTTTGGAAAATCAGTTTTTCCAAGCAGCAGCATGGCCTTTCTACCAAGCTGAGTGGCTGCTGTATGTCTGGAAGGAAGGAAAGGGGCTGGAGGGAGCCAAGCCAGTTTCTCCCTCTTCCATCCTGCTGCTCTTGCATCGCATCTGGTGGAAGAGCATGTTCACAGTGCACGCAGCCCTATGCATTTCTAATTCAAACACCAGCAGCAATGAGACCCTCCCAGACCACAGGCCAGTGGCCCTGGCCTTTCACATGCCACCTCATCTCTCGATGAAGGGGTTAAATAAATGCTAGACACAAGGCACAGGTGAATTACCAGGTGAAGGGAGGGAGCTGGAGGGATGGGGAAAGCAAAGCAACCTGGCCCCAACTTCCCCTCCAAGGCCTTGGAGGTAAATTGGGGATTTCCCCATTTCATTAACTTTACAAGGGGTAATTCCCAGCATGCAGCATCATCCTCATGAACAGACCCATCCTGGGCTCTCTCTCACCCTTTCACAATCAACAGCCTCCGTGGCTGCACCACTAGACAGGAAAGCCATGCTGTATTAGTATCTAACAAAGGTAACAGGCAGCTGGTACTGAGTTGCCCTCAGTGGAAAATACAACTGAGACACAGAAACAAGCAGTAATTTTTGGTTTTAAAGTGAGAAGCAAAATGGATGCCAAAACCCACGAAAGATGTGAATTTGAAAGCCCCTCCTGGTTCTCCCTTGCAGAGGAGCATTACATGACTTGCTCCTGCTCCCCAGGAGAAGCAGCCAACCGTTCATCCCTGCTGCCACTCTGGAGACCGGTGGTGTTCCCGGGCAAAAAGGCTCTGATGCTTTAGGCAGGGTGAGGATCAAAGGACTGTCCCACAGGCGCAGAAATCAGCTCAAGTACACTGAGTTCATTAGAAACATGCACACACGCAGGCAGGAGTTTATTAGTCCACAGACTTACCATACCAAAAAAAAAAAAAAAAAAATATTCCCCCAAAATAGGGGTAGGTTCCCAGTTTTGCCTGCTCGCAAATTAACAGTGCCGAGGGTACTAAATATGTCTTGTGCACTCTGATGGGAGTGCAGGGCAGGAGGTGAACATGCATTTGCAGCTGAGATTCAAGCCTCTCATGTATAAAGGGGCTGTGTACCTTTAGCCGCAAGGCAGCCAGGAGCCCTCAGCTGCCTCCGAGACACATCCAAGGTCAGAGCAGCTGCAGCAGTTTTAATGTGTGCGAGAGGGAGGCCGGCTCAGCAGACGCTAAGTACTGGCAGCACAGCCAGTCCTCCAGTTCAATGCTCCGCTCCGTGTCCACAGCTCTCTCTGCGAACTTCATCATGAGCAGGGCACGCTTCATGTCCACCCAGTTCTGAAGCACCCGGCAGAGGGCTTCCTCATGGCTGAGGGGCTGCTCGGTGAGGTCTTTTCGGGGTCCCCAAAGCAGACACTGCAGCATCCGCTTGGCCTCGGTGATCCGCACACGCTTGATGGGATCTGCTTCCAGTAGCAGGTGGGCCAGCTGCTGGAGCCCCCGGGAGTAGATGGAGAGGCTGGGCAGAGCAGGGAGGTCCTCAGGGCTGTACTCCTGCTCCCTGAGGTGCATCTTCTCCTCGAAGGGGTTGGGCTGGTGCAGCAGCTCGTAGATGAGAATACCAGTCTGAAACTCGTCAAACTTCTTGTACTGAGAAGCCGACACAATCTCCGGGGCCAGCCGGGCCTGACTCTTCTTCAGTTTGGAGTCTCCAGTTCCTGGCTTCTGTTTGGCTTTCAAAAAATTGCTGATGATGAGGCGGGGTAGGTGTTTGTCATCTTTGGCTTTCACACAGCTCATAGGGGGCTTGCAGGGGACAAGCAGGAGGTTCTCCAGGCACAGGTCACGATGGATGATGCCGTGCTCTTTGAGATGCTCCAGGCCATTGCAGAGCTGGAGGAGCAAGAAGCAAACGCGACGTTCGTACAGCTCGGGCTTGGCTTGGTGCAACATCACCGAGTCCCTCACGAAGTCGGCAGTGGTCTGGCTCGGCACCTCCCGGGTAATGACCACCACACAGTCGTGCTCGCTGGCAGTGCGGGAGGGATGGAGGCCATCCCCGGGCATGCTTTTCCCCACATCTGAGGCCAGCAGCATGCTGGAGGGGACAGAGGCCACAAAATGCCCACAGTCCTGCTGGATGTTGAAGTGGACTGGCACTGCAGGGCTGCAGTACGAAGCAGCCACCTTAGACTCCTGGGTTTTACAAATCTGTGAGGAGAGACCAAAAGAAAAGTCTCATCAGTCAGTGACAGAGACAGGGCAGAGACCAGAAGTCCAGAGGTGCATTCCTAAGATGAGATTTGCAGGTGCTAAGGAAGACATCAGTAGAAGCAGGGTGCACACTGGTCCCTTTAGTACTTTAAACTATCTCCTGGCTTGAGCATCTTTCTTGTCTTGCAACACCCCAACCTTAGCAACCAGGTGTCTGGGTCGTGTTTCTGGGCATGTTTCCTTTGTCAGGTGATGCCCAATATTTGCAGGAAAGGAGGAAGGTAGTCCTCCCATGAGTAACTTCTGGAGATTTTGTTTCATTGCTGACAGAAGCAACATAGCTTTTACATCACAGATGTTATCGAGATTCCCCCCCCTGCAACGCAGGAGACATTCTGCAGAGGGAAGAGCAAAGCCTGTGGCAGAAGATGTGCCACCTCCCTCTCTGGAGATGGTTAACACTTGCCTGGATGAGGCCCCATACGATGTGATGTGGCTGCGATGGTGGCCCTGTTTGGAGTGAGGGGTAGACAGAGACCTCCAGCACTTTCTTCCTACCTAAC